GAAGAAGATGCGCTTGGAGTCTTTTTTTTTGAGAAAAAGAAGGGACACGTACTCCTAGAGTGGAAGTTGGATGTGCAAGAACCGTACGTAGTAAATACACATGTACCCAAATTTTTTCCCGGCCTAGCACCGAGTCTAAGTCTACGCGGCCCGACGGCCTCGGCCGCGCCCTCGGGTACGTATAAATATACACATGCACACCGCCGCGCCGATCGGCCGCCAGAGCTATCACCAGTCAGAGTCTAGCTCGGTTCACCGTCAGTCAGAGGCATTACATTACGTACGATCCAGATATAGGTGGTTTCCGCCGTTATGCAGAGCCTCTGCCTTGAGCAAATCTTAGATGCTTAGTGCAAGCATATGCTCCCAACTATTATATATACTCCGTTGCTACTGCCTTAGAGCGAGTTCGCTTGCAATCTACTGAACCTAGCTAGTGGTCTGGGACACCGCCAGTCCGCCATGTCCTCCTGCCTGCAAAGCGTTGCCGAGCAAGATGCCGATGCCGGCGATGCGCACGCGGAAGCCAACCAACAACTCTACAATCATTTCACCAACCTGGTCTCCTCCCTGCCAAGCTCGAATGGCCAGGGCCTCGGTCAGGTCTTCCTCCACAGCCAAGGCTGGCACGCCTACCAGGGGCCCATGGTCGGCGCCATGGTCGCCGACGCCTGCTTCGCTTCGCGGCCCACGGACATCATCGTCGCCACCTTGCCCAAGTCTGGCACGACGTGGATCAAAGCACTCCTCTACGCCACCGTGCACCGGGCAGAGCACCCCCCGGACGCCGCCGACCACCCTTTCCACACCCTCGGCCCCCACGAGTGCATCCCGTTCTTGGAGTTCCAGCTCTACACGAGCGGTCGCGTCCCGGACCTCGGAAAGCTTCCGGACCCAAGGCTCTTCGCCACGCACGTCCCGTTCGTGGCGCTGCCGAGGTCCGTCGTCGCCACGCCGCCGGGCCCGGGCTGCAACTGCAAGGTAGTCTACGTGTGCCGCGACCCCAAGGACACATTCGTCTCGCTGTGGCACTTCATCAACAAGGTCAGGGCCAAGAAAGGGAAGGAGCCCCTCTCGGTCGAGTTCGCCGCCGAGCAGTTCTGCGCCGGCGTGACGCCTATGGGCCCGTACTGGGAGCACGTGCTCGGGTACTGGCGCGCGCACCTCGCGCGGCCCGAGCAGGTGCTCTTCTTCAGGTACGAGGAGATGCAGAGGGACCCCGCGGCGCACGTCCGGAGGCTTGCGGAATTTGTTGGCCTCCCGTTCGGTGCCGGCGAGGACGGCGCCGCCGACGCCATCGTTAGGCTATGCGCGTTCGAGCGCATGAACGAGCTGAGGGCGACCAAAGATGGTAAGACGGAGTTGGCGGTGATCGGCGCAGTGGACAACAGCATCTTCTTCCGGCGCGGCGTGGCGGGGGACTGGATGAACCATCTGTCTCCAGAGACAGCGCAGCGCATCGACGCCATCACCCGCTCCAAGTTCCAGGGCTCCGGCCTCATCACCTGCGTCTAGCGTTTCAGTGTGCTCATCAGCCTCTAGCCGCCTTTTAATTTGTCAATTGTCATCAGCACGCACCAGTTTGGAATAAAGATCGAGTCATCATTTCTGTTTCCCCAAGTTTGGTATTTCACATGTACGCCTAAACTCTTCTAAATAATAATCGATGTTTAATTGATTTTTCTGGGATTTTTGGCTCCACATAAAGGTTGTATACTAGTACTGTTACCTATCCAGAACAGAAAAGCTATAACACACTCGTGTGTTTTGGGAGCCGGCCTTTTTGCGCCTCTGATGTGTAGGGCCCAGTCTATACGACGTGGCAGCCGCGCGTTCGTGTACGCTGTGTACGTGAGTGTGATTTGTCCGCGCGTGTACGCCCGTGTACGTCCGTCTGATTTGTCCGCGCGTGTACGTCCGTGCGTCCGTGTACGCCACGTACAGCTCCAGCCTCACGTTGTATTTATTCTCATGTGATTTGTTTATAATTTGTTATTGTCTTTATGTTATAATATATTAATTTTTTGTCCTTATCTAACTATAAGAAAAAATTATGACTTGTTAATTGTCCTTGTATCAATATATATATATTATTTTTTGTCCTGGTCTAACTATAGAAAAAAGTTATGACTTGTTAATTGTCTTTGTGTCAACATATATATTAATTTTTTGTCCTTGTCTAACTATAGAAAAAAATTATAAATTTCTTTGTGTCAACATATATATTAATTTTTTGTCCTTCTCTAACTATAGAAAAAAACTGACTTGTTAATTGTCTTTGTGTCAACATATATATTAATTTTTTGTCCTCGTCTAACTACAGAAAGAATTATGATTTGTTAATTGTCTTTGTGTCAACATATATATTAATTTTTTGTCCTTGTCTAACTATAGAAAAAAATATTGTGACTTGTTAATTGTCTTTGTGTCAACATATATTAGTCTTTTTTCCTTGTCTAACTATAGAAAAAAATTGTGACTTGTTAATTGTCTTTGTATCAACATATATATTATTATTTTTGTACTTGTCTAACTATAGAAAAAAATTATGACTTGTTAATTGTCTTTAACTATAGAAAAAATTGTGACTTGTTAATTGTCTTTGTGTCAACATATATATTAATTTTTTTGTCCTTGTCTAACTATAGAAAAAAATTGTATGTGGAGAGAGAGAGAGAGAGAGGGGGGCTGGGGATTCCATCAGAGCTGTTTAGGTCCGATCCAGCGTTTAAAAAAATTCGAGTGTGGAGAGACCCTCCAACACTCCGTTATTCCAAAGACAGACTCATCTAGAAATACTCCTTCACAGTCGCCTGCTATGCTGTTTATCCGTCAGACGACGCGCCTACGCCTACGCCCGCGTGCCTGACTGCGCCTGTGCCCACGGCTAAGGTTCTGGCGAGGACCTCGCCGGTGTCGGGTAAGTTCAACGTCCTCTCTCTCTCTGACTCTCCCTCTCTTCTTCTCCATCTCCGGTGGGCATAGAAGGGGGTTCGGGGAGGAAGGCCGGTCCGACGGTGGGGGCGGCGGCAGGATGGTTTAGGGGCCCTAGCGGCGATGGAGACGGCCGGACCAGGTCAGGGCGGGGAGCTCCATGGCCAGACTCGCTGCGGAAGGAGGGGGAGGGGAAGAAGGCGGCCGCCGCGGGCATGCTAGGGTTTCACTGGAGCTCCGCGATTGCAGAGCTCCGGCGAAACCCTAGCGCGCCGCGGCGAGATGGTGGGTGGCGGCACGGGCGAGGACAAGGCGGAGGAGGGGCGCCGACGAGGTAGGCAGGGGTGGGGTGCGAGGATGAGGAGGTGCGAGGAGGAAGAAGACATGAGGACGAGAGAGCGCGGTGGGAGGTTGAAGGCAAAGTGTCCGTCAGCTGTGAGGGAGACAGACACATCTGGGTTAATATTTGCCTGTGTCAAGTAGCCACCGGTAACTATTCCCTAGTTACATTAGCGTGTGTCTTGATAATGTGCCTACTCTACAAAGGAAGCTAGACTTAGGATTGTGTCACACTGTCACTGCCTCACTAGCATTGCTCGTTTAAACACGGTATAGATGCATGATTACACCAACTAATTAGTCAAAAATATCTATTAGGCACTATTAGGATGCCTAGAATTAACAAATAGTTGATTAAAATCTACTAGTCATAGACTAGTTGTTACTCCATTAGTTCACGTATAAGAGTTCATAGCACTAGTTGTTAGTCTATCAGTCCAAGTATAGGACTTAATAGGATTGGTTGTTAGTCCTGGAGTAGTAGATTTTTTTTTGATGGTAGCGTCCCACAAGAGCACCGAATTTTCTCTCATAATAAATCAGTTTCAGCCGACTTATCAGCCGGATTTAATACTAGCCGAACGGGCCTGCGTACGTTGTACCACAGCATGCATCGAATGTCTCGGGCCGGACCAATAATTTTTTCTTCTATGCGTACGTATGTACCAACTGTACGTCGTGCTGCATGACAATTGACACGTACGTACACCTCTCCGTCGTTTCATTTCGATCACTGTACGTATGCTATGTTCACCCTGCGCGCGATCACACTCACATCGCATTACTTGTATTCGGTAATAATTGTCCAATCGTTCACTAATTAGACTTAAAATGTTCGTCTTGCAAAGTACAACCAAACTATGCAATTAGTTTTTGATTTCGTCAATATTTCGTACTCTATACATGTACCGTAAGTTTGATGTGACGAAAAAATTTTCTTTTTGTATAGTGCCAAAGTTTGAAATTGGGGAGAACTAAACACCCCCAAACGTGCGCGACCAAACCACGCACACGTCGTCGCGTCACGTCACAGACGATTCCCGCCAGCTTTGACATGCGCGGCCACCTGGCCCCTGCCGGCCGCGCGCCTCGTGGTCACTGATGCGCGGCCCGCCGGCCTAGCACCGAGTCTACGCGGCCGGCCGGCCTCGGCCCTCGGCCGGGTATAAATACACATGCACACCGCCGCGACGATCGGCCGGCCGCCTCAGCTATCATCAGTCAGAGCTATTACGATCCAGCAGCTCGTTCGGTCGGTGGGTTGGTTCGTTTCGTTGCTGGTGTGTGAAGAAGTACGGTTGATTGGTTTGTGTGAGAGAAAAATACTGTTTTGGCTAAAAATTTACGATTGTTTACGACAAGCCACAGTCAAACAAACAGGCTGCAGATCACTAGCTAGTATAGGTAATAAAACCAGCACTCCTCGAGCAGAGAGCAGACAGAGCGTACGTGCTAGCTAGGCCTGGTTTAGATTGTAAGTTTTTTTCACTTTCTCTTTATCACATCAAATCTTTGAACATATGCATGAAGTATTAAATGTAGATAAAAAAATAACTAATTACATAGTTTGATTGTAAATTACGAGACGAATCTTTTGAGCCTAGTTAGGCTATGATTGGACAATAATTATCAAATACAAACGAAAGTACTATAGTGCCAAATACTGATTCCTAACCTCAATCTAAACAAAGCCTTAAGAGTAATCATCGAGACCATCATTATTGACGATGAGCTCGCTGACGGCGAGGCTCGCTCTGCTGGCGTACCTGCTGCTCGCGACGCTGCTGCACCCCTGCCTCTGCCATGCAACGGCGGCGGCGGCCGCTCGTGGCGCCGGCAACTGGAGAGTGGATTGTGAGTTCTATTCTTCTCTATGTATACCAGCTGTTGTTTTTGCTGCTGCTGCTGCTTCTGCTTCGTCGTCGTCTTCATCTTTATCCTTCAAAGGTAGAAACATTAATCATGCAGAGTGACTGAGATATATATAATGCTAATGTTTGTTTGTTTCGCAGCGAAATCGGTCGACCAGGGGGTCGCGTACGTCCTCATCCTCCTCGCGCTCTTCGTCACCTACATCGTGCACTGAATTTGGGACTACTACTGCACTATTGAACAGCTATCACAAACCGTAGATTATTCTCCAATCGGTCGATCGCGTCCTCTGGAAGCTCAAAGTAAGCAGAGGGAGTGGAGTTGTGTCTTGATTCCCGTTCGCCGGCTATCAGCTATATGCTCCACGTCGTCCACGAGCAGTACTTTGCCAGTTTGGCCGGCCGCCGGACTCCGACCTTTTTTTCTTTTCTTTTTTCTTCTTTTTCAAGTTTGATGTGATGCGACTTGAAGTGAGGGTCAGTTTAGATGTGAATTTTTTTGCAAAATGCTACTGTAGCAGTTTTCGTTGTTATTTGATAATTAGTGTCTAATCATAGTCTAATTAGGCTTAAAAGATTCGTCTCGTGGATTTCGTCTAAACTGTGTAATTAGTTTTATTTTTTATTTATATTTAATGCTTCATGCATGCGTCCAAAGATTCGATGTGACGGAAAATCTTGAAAAATTTGTCAAAACGAAGTGGAACTAAACAGGGCCTGAGTTAAAGTAGTCTAGTCATCAGGTACTGTAAAATGTTCATTATCTAGTAGTGGTTATGTATATTATATTATTCACGGATCTCAATTAGAAATAATGATAAGAAGATATATAAATTCCATTTTATGGATAACTAATAATAATAATGTCGACATACTTTTGTTGCTTCATATACTACAAGATATGCCGTCTTTGGTGACGGCATTTCTGGTGGTCAAAAACTCTACCATATGGATGTCCGTAATGGAATCAGATCCATCGGACGCCTTCATGGTAGCGTCTCGTGAGGACGGAAGGACACAAGTAATATCTAGATGGGGATCTACCTACGACGTTGTTCTTCTCTGTGTTTCTTTCCACTGTTGAAAATGTTAGCATTCGAACATCCTTGGACAGAATCGAATACATCAGATGCCTTTGCGGTATGCCTCCCATCTATCTGCTCGCTAACCACACCCCACCTCCATGTCTTGTTGAGCCCCTCTTCCTTGACTCGTAGCCTTAAATTGCTCCACATCCTGCAAGCGTCACTATCGATTTGAGGTACATAGGGCGGCGAGGATGGTAACCAATGTAGGCATCCCCAAGCAGCGAGAACAGCTGCTTCCGATGGGTGGTGTGATGTAGACAACCTCGCCATCATGGACAAGCACGATGACTTGGGCAGACACGAGACGCCAGCGTGGAGGTGCCATTGGCGATGTTGTACGAACTATTTTTACATTATTATTGTGTGTTATTTGTTTCTCCGTGTTGCAATACATATCATGATGTTTCAATTGGTGAGTTTGGATGTTGTAACGGATGGATTTCCATGTTGCGGCAAACAAAATTGAGATATTTCCGCAAAAACATATTCTGATGTTGCAAACACGGGCTATTTTCTTTATGTTGCAACATGTGCTCTTGAGATACTGTAATATTCAATTGTTTTGTGGTGTTTTATTCTAGACATGTTGTGATGGGCTAGGAAACCACTTTTTCGTGCTAGCTTCTATTGTTGATAGTCTAGCTTCTATTGTTAAGATTGTGTCATTTTATTGTAATGTCATATTCTCTCTCTCTCTCTCTCTCTCTCTCGCACCAGCAAGTACACAATGTGTGTGGAAGTGCTCCAACGCATAGGCAACACCACTGTTGGGTTTTGGGAAACCAGAGGTGGACATGTTTTGGCTGGGCAAGAATGGTGGAGGTGGGCCCATGTATCCGCAAGTGGGGTCACTCAACAATTGGTCATGCTCCAAGCGGCTGTGTGGGGTCCGCCTATCGGTGGCTTGAAGAAAGCACGTGTGAGGTTGAGGAGAGAAGGTATTGGCGGGGGTATTTCTGATCCAAGGCCGGTTGACCGTCCGTTGGTTGCACTGTCACTAATTGTGAGAGGGAAATAGGAGCGCGGGCTAGGCTAGGCTGTTCGATAGGCCCGTGGGCCGCCGTGGCCTATTGGGCCTTATAGAGGTTTGTGGGAAACATGCTAGCTGGGTCATGCTTCGGTCGGCGGTAGCCTTAGGGTCCTTTCCTTTTTCCCTTCATATTACCAAATACTTAGCGCATGTAGAATTTTGCAAAAAAATTTCTAGGTGTTGGTGATGAAAATCCATTGAAGTGGCAACTCAAATATAAATATAACATTAAATGCTTATGCTTGCATTGGGGTTTTTCCTAGAATAGTTATGCAACTAAGTCTACTAATCTACGCGGTCAAATACCATTCAGGGTTTTTGCGAATTTTTTTAAAAGGTCCGTATTTTTTGCCCTAGGGTTTTTGGTGGATTATTACAAAAAGGTTCGTGTTTTTGCCCTATGGTTTCTGATAGATTATTACATGAACTTCGGGCATCGATAAGGGAGTTGGTGGCAGGGGAAAGGCGAAGCACTCAAGACCGACAGATTGACCATGGGAGCTGGATGTCGGTCGATGAGGAAGTGGTGCACATGGGTGAGCCCTCAAGTAGGGATAAAAATAGGACGAATATTCCCTGATATTCATCGTCACAAAAGACGAATATTCCCTGATATTCCTCGTCACGAAAAGGTCAAAACTTTGCACGAATAGTTGTTATCTGAATCCAAATATTTAATATCCGTATCCGAATCTGAATACTCAAAATCAGATTTCTAACATATATATGTGATATATATCGATATCAGAGGTATCCGACATGATCCGTATCCGGTTCCGAGATCCGAGAAAATATATGGGATAGAATGCAAGTTCACTTATATCTATCTGTATCCAATCCAGTTTCATCCCTACACTCGAGAGCGGGGGGTGCAGTGGAGGCGTTCGGCCTGGCGGAGGAGCGAGCAGGGAGCTAGCAGGCAGCGGCTCAGCCTCAGCCGCGAGTATGGGATAGAGCGGTGGCTAAGGGCGTGTTTGCGACCTTGTACTGGCGGCTCTGCTAAATTTAACTGCCCAGTGCAAGGCAGCTCGCCCCAAGTGGTGCAATCGCTCTTGTTTGCGCTGTGTACCCCAGTGAGCCTGGCTCAGCGTAGGTCAGTGTTTGTCATCGAAGAGGCAATGGGCCGAGAGGCTAACCGCCACCAACTACCACACCGAGATAGTGTTTGTCATTTGGCCGTGGTCGGCCAGCCCATAACAACAAAAATGTAAATGGACATGAATGAAAGGAGAATGAGGTTGCTCTTCCATAACCATTACAACAACAAATCAAAGTTTCAAAGATGCAATAGTTGACCTCAGACATGCTAGTTTAACAATTCATGGCATTACTGGCTACATGGGATAATCAAAGTCAGTAAAGAAGAACAGTAGCATCCGCTAGTCAAGTTTTAAAGCCAACAAACGAAAAAGTTCACGTAAAAGATAAGAGGCAAAGAAATGATATGTAGCCACTAATCCATCGATCCATTGTGTCATCATTAGCCAAAATACAACATTTAACAGTTTGGCAAGCCAAGAAGGGCAACAAGTTAACGAGAAAGCATGTAGCCACCTAATGCGGTCATCCTATTGTGTCATCATCGGCCTAATTAAAACAACAAATGTGGCACATGAACAACTTGAGTGATGACCAACTACAACCATAAACAAGATGAAGATGACAAAGATTTTTGCAACTTGACCTTGCAGCCAGTGAATGAGGATAGATTTGAACCTTGAGTCATCACTTCAGCTCATGGGATGTTGATGCATCCCCATGAGGGGCATGAATTAGTAACAAAGAAGGGTTCTTGAGGTACCCTTGCATTAAAATCTCTAAGAGCATCATCATAGTTGTTGTACTTCTGATAGATAGCCCCTTCTTCCCTAAGCACTTGCTTAGCACACTCATACCATGTAAAATAAATCCCAGGTTTCTTCCCTTCAAATACCACATAGCAGGGATGCATTCTCTGAAACCAACCAAATGTAGAACATGTAAGTGGCCTGAATGACATGCCTCAGTCGACCATTCAGTTTCAATGACTGTGAACATCATCGGCTACTTCATAAAAAAATTAGCCTCACCTTAGTAGTTTGGTGGTTTTTTCCTTGTTTAGTCATTGGTGGCTACCAAGAATTGTAAGAACCAAATAAAGAGGCAAATAAACAACAGTTGCACTCACTGCCATACAGACCTTTTGATCAGTTGCACTCATTGCCATCAGCCATCACAAGAGGATGTTATTGCTGTGGAGTACAACTGAGCATAAGTGTAGAATGGAAGGATAGGCAAATAAAGAAGAAAGCACAACAACAAAACCATCAAAACAAGAATAAGGTAGCCACCTCAAGTTTGTTTTATGCATCATAGGCCTTTAAATCCCACAGTTACCACCAGAGGCATAAACAACACAAATAGGCAACTAGTTATCAAATAAAAAGTAGCCAACAGAGGCTACAAATAAGTTTCTTACAATACCAAGTTCAGCCCAACAACCAAGGGCTCAAATGTTCCCAAATCCTTGCCTATTGTTAGCCACCCTCCTAGGCAAACTACACCACCAGGTCAGGTGTCAAAAGAACAAGCAGACTGCACAAAAGGTCCTGTTGTCAAAAGAAGAGAGTGGGTGAGGGGGGGTGGAGGAACTATACATCTCTACAGTCAACCCCCTCCTGGCCTTCTAGCCCTTCATGTGTAGTGGAACTACACATAGTAGTTTTTGGCCAGGAAGGTCCTAAGCCAAAGGGCCCTGTGGGCATCACTCATGTTCACAAAGCTCCTGCCTTGGGCCTTGTTGTCTAGGAGGAAGGTGTAGGCAACAATAAATGCCTCACTGAAGCCAGACATCTCCATCACAGCAAGGTACAGATTGGCATCAACATGGGCAGGTCCAGTCTCCCTAAGAGCATTGGCCACATTGTTCACAACATCTGACATGTTAGTCAACATGAGCATCTCCTCCTCAGAGAAGTTGGGCAAATGTAGTTTAAGAAAGGCAAATGTAGGTAGTCAAGGCAAAGACGAGATCAAACTGCTACCTTGCAGTGGCCAAGGTAGTGCTCTTGCTCAAGCATGATAGCATGAGCCTGGTCATCCCAAAGAGCACCACTAAGGTCCTTCAACTTGCTCACCCTAGCCTATTTCTGCCTCCACTTCCTCAAGTGGTTGTACATCTTTCCTGGCTACAGCATCTGCCAAAACAGTTGCATCATGGGCAGAGCCCTCCCAGCCAGCCAGGACATAAGTGAATTTCAGATCACAATTCACAGCTACCATCACATTTTGGGTGGGGTCCTTTTTCCTACCCCTAAAAGCTTGTTGCATGCGCCTAGAAACCCTTGCTATGAAATGAGTCCCATCTATAAAGTCAATGACATCCTAAAAAGCATGGGTCAGTCATTGCAACAGGTCTAATGTAACTAATGAACCCAGGGTATACAATTACCTTAAAATATGGATTCCATGTATGGCTTCCAAGAATCTTTGGGTGAGTGGTAGTGCTAGCTGGCTTTATCATTTCATTCCTAAGCTCACCCACAGCATACAACACCTGATGGAAGTGCTTGTGGACAGTTTGAATGGACCTCCTAAAGGACTGGTGGACAACCCTAAATCTTTGGTTGTGCCCAACAACATGTAAAAACATAGCAACCTGCTCTTCTACTGACACCCCCTCCCTATCAGTGACAAGACTCCTCTCTCTAAAAGTTCTCACTAACTTAAAAAAAGCAACTCTCTTCATACTAATCATAGAAATACACTCTAAATCAATGGAATTATATATCATTCTCAGTGTTCTCTGTCTGTGATGTTCATTTTCATCCCTAATCAGGACCAGTGCTATAGGATCAGGCAGTGGGGTTTCAGGTTCAGGGATTTTTCTTTTCAGCCTAGTGGATACAAAAGTAACCATAACAACAGTCAAGGCAGCTGCCTTCCTACACAGCATGTCACGGCTAAAAGACAGATCCATCTACAAGCATGTAAAAATGTAATATGATTTCAGCTTAATGTACCCTGCTAGGCATCAACATGAATGTGAAATGAATGCATGTCAACAAAAGCACGGCTGCATCTTGTATGTGATGCCTCCCAGTACTAAATTTGGACAACATCATCGACCAATGATGGAACAAAAAACTCAGAGCAATAGTAATCAGAAACAGATCAACATCCCTAACACATCAAGAACAGCAAGGTACAAGTAACACTAACAACTGCATCAAACAGTTATGAACAACAAGGTACAATACTAATCCGAAATAGATCAACAACCCTAACAGATCACGATCCCAACAGATCAAGAACAACAAGGTACAAGTAACCCTAATAGGAGCATGAAGCAGTTATAACAAGTATGAAACCCTAACAGATCATGAACAGCAACGAACAAGAAACCCTAAGAACTTCAAGAAGCACCACAAAAAAGAAGATTGAGGGTCAATTTCACCTTGGCTCGGGGTCCAAACAACGGAGAGGAGGCAGATCTGGAAGTAGAGGATGCAGATCGGGAAGAAGATGAAGCAGATGCGGACGGAGAAGAAGAGGAACACCGCTGCCACGGAGTCCCAGCAGCAGCCGGAGCGGGGACGCGGCGAAGAACCTCGGCGCCGGTGACCTAACCCACAACCAGCCGGAGGTCACCGCCGCCGCCACGCACCACAACTCACCGCCGGTCTCTCACGAGGGAGGTGGAAGAGCAAGCACCGAGTGGAAGAAGGAGAGAGTGGAGAGTGGGAACCCGTATATAAAGGCCGGCGAAATCGCCGCCATTTCGCTTCGCGCGCGGCGGCCAGAGCGGGAGCGGAAAGCGGGAACGCGCGCGAAGACATTTCCCCTTCCCGCCAGAGCCCGCGCGAGCCACCCCGCCGCCGCCCAAAATCGCCCGCGTGCGTCGCAAACGAGCTCGGCTCCAAAGAAACGAGGGTTTCGGTCGTTTCCAGAGAGCCAGGCGGAGAGGTCGATTTTTGCTCTGGGAAGCCAGGCTCGCTTGCGGGCCATCGACCACAAACATGGCAACTTGCAGCCCACGGGCGCAGCCGGGCCTCCGGGCCAGGGTCGCAAACGCGCCCTAAAGCACTCAGGGGCCTCCGGAGAAGGGGTGTCGATGAAAAGAAGCCTCGCGGTGGAAGAAACAAGCCTGCGGGCTCGCGGTACAAGATTCCTAGTGCAACCATGATTTTCTCACCATAGCGGTCAGGAGAATCAAGAACTAATCAAGACGATCTCGCCTAATTCCACCTAGAATCTGATTTTAAGCATATCCAAATAGGGTGCAAGAACCACTAACATGTAGAATACATTCCTTGCTTACCCTTGATTTGTTGTTGATAAATATGGGTCTGAACCTATATGCCATTGAGACAACGGAAGGCCTGTAGGGCATTAGGGCCCAGGAACATCAGTGTCAACTGTTAACTTCATCCGCGTTAAATATCGTCAGTGCTTATACACTCTTCTATGACTTGGATGCAAGAGCCCACTGACTTCCCTGTAGACATTGCCTCTGCAAGCTGCGATCTAGCTTTTTTATGGCGACGCAGTATGAGAACAGTATTCAGCACAGCCCATCTCACCTGTGAATCAGCTTTCTTTTGGGTGAAACCCAAACTCTTGAGCAATCCATCAAGCTGTACATAAGGTAAATGGGACACACAAAACAGAAAATACTGGTGAAATATGATGCCTATCAAACCCAGTAGAAGTAATTGATGCTTACAGCACAGACCTTATTGATGTCAGCTAATCCTCCTTCTGCAAGTCCGTACAGAAGATACTCTGTTGCGACTCCAGCTAGTGCTATACACGAGAACTTGTTCACCATCTGCAAGAAGTAAAACAATGCTCGGTGACACCAAAAACACTGAATGGCAACAAAATAACCCAGATTACACAAACAATTAGTTTTGACTGGTAATGTTCAATTTGTCTCCTGGGTGGAAGGCCACACAAATGGAACAGAGCTGGAAGACATCAGTCCCTATTTATCTCATGATTGCTTTTGATCTTCCTAAATGGGCTATCAAAGCAAGTGATAAGCAGAGACGGGGATTTCTTTGGAAGGATGAAGAGCAGGCGAAAATGGCGGCAATTGTCTTGTGGCCTTTTTAGATTAAGGAAACAAAATTGTCTTGTGGCTTGGACGCTTGGAGAGTGGTTGCCAGTTAACTATGGTGACCCACGCATTCACAATTTAACTACTCTTTGTTAGCTTGTCGAATGAGGTAGCTGTGGTTGCCAAAAAAAAAAAAAAATCCAAGTAGGCCTTGGTCAGGTATGCAGGCTGAGGTTCATCCCAATGCCCAAGCCCTTTTTTTAATGCCCGCAATACCCCTGGTCCAAAATGGTAGAGATATCAAATTCTGGTCAGGTTGTTGGTTGCTTTGTCGTATGTTGAGTGAGCTGGCACCTCACCTCAAGTTACCAAAAGGACTACCAATCAAAGGATTGTTTCTCAGGGTTTTGAAATCGCTGCCGAAAATCAAAGTTGCCACAACAGGTTAGGCCACTGAAGAGTATCTGTTAATTTCAGCCTTGGTGGAAGATTATAGTTTTGCAGGACCAGCTTTTACATGGAAATTGACTAGATCAGGATCATATACATGCAAATCAGTCTTCAAAGCATTCTTTGTGGGTACCATTCAGTTTTAATAGTTGCGGGTGACCATTCTAGAAAACCATATTCACGGCATATGCAACAGTCTTAATAGTTGTCCTTAAATTTTACAAAATCAATAAAGTTGGTCCAAATTTAACATTTTACATTTGTTAAAATAAAACTAGTATCCCTAAAACTCCTTCAAATCCTAAACTTCAGTGATGATATTTCATCAGCATATATTAGACTTTTTGTAGATATTATACTGGTTGAGACTTAGTGTATGCTGGGGCATCATGAATCACATACTAAAGTGAGGCAGCCTGCTTTTTATAAAACAAAGGTTTCTAGGAACACTCACCGTGGCAGATAGCTTGCCTGTATTGATCTGAAAGAACAAGATAACCATTAGTCTAGAAACTATACAACACTGTGCAGTGCTTATAGTTTTTAAAAGATATACAGCAGTAACTGCACAAAATGAATAACTGGTAATATGAACTATGCACTCCAAAGTATAAGTTCTTGCAAAACTACATGTGGAAATTTGTCAGCCAAGAGTATTGAATCATTCAACTGATGCAGATAGTCCGATCTGCTTTCTTCGTCTTAAGGATGTTCATGAAATATTTGACTGGAGGAAGTTATGCAAATTCTGGCCATCATTCCAATGAAACCATGGGGGGTGGAGTTCAATCTGTGATCTAAAACAAAGGGGTGCGGACATGTCTGCGGATAAATCTAAGCATACAAGATGCATAACCAACTTGTCAAATTTCTGTTCACTCAATATATGAGCTAGTTCAACATTCAGATGGAAATCAGTGGAAAGTGTTTGCTACTTGTAGAAAATAGTAACTTATCCAAAATTTGAAGATTAAGAAGTTTTCAGAAGTTAATAAAATTAACCTCTCCAAGGAACTCATAGTCCACAAAAGCTGTTCCAGCTTGCATGTTAAGCGATCCTTGATTGATAAGTGTATCCAAGCTTGTAATTGTGTATCCTTTTGGAAGCACTCCAAGCAAGTATGCTATCAAGAAGTGACCAGCTTCATGCTGTACATGATATCAATTTTAGAACTTATCCATTCAAAGGAAAACACTGAGTAATGGAAAAGGAGAAAATGAAGATTTGCATTTTGTGGTCTTTTGGGAAAATGGAAAACCCAACACAACAGCCACGTTTAAAGCATGTTTTGATCTTGGTGGCATCCTCATTAAACTATTTTGTTTCCTTTTTCAGTTCATTTAACTTTGATACCAAAGCATTATTAAAAATAATAATACAACAGTTTCTTAGAACCTGTAAAGCTGGAATCACCAAATTGAGGCGAACAAAAAGACCAGTTTGTCAGAAAAGCAGGAATAATCAAACTGAGCCAAAAACCCAAATCATATGTTCATACTACCATTATGTGACTTTGTTCATGTAGGAAAGAAAAGTTACATGCTTGCTACAGGCCTGTTCAGATATCAAGAAACATAACTCATAGTGATTAATCACAGTATTTACTAGTTGACACTTGACATCATAATTGTTGTTGCATTGCTACAAAGGTATGAGGCACATAGAGAGATCATTTTACCTTCATTCTATAAGTTACCAATTTGAGTGTCTTGAAAGTTTTCTGTTTATCAAGTCAAAACAACTTCCAGGACTATATAAAACCCAAGCACCAAAGATCCTGACAAAACAGTATAGTGTAGGACTACCTGAATAACTCTGTTGTGATACTTCTGGCTGAAATAGTGACCAATTGTATCAAGAACCAAGTTTCTCACCCCACCACCAAAATATACCTAGAAAGCTGTAGTTAGATAAGCTCCAGACAGAGAGGCTTATTGGAAGCTCAGTGTTTAGATAACGACGCATGGAAAATAAATGGATTAATGTCTGAACTACAAGTATGTTTAGCTCAAGAATGGCAAGCTAACCAACATAGATGTGTATAATTGAACCAAAGAAGCACATAGTAGGACCAACGAAATGCTAAAAATAAAGTTATGTCTTATCAGAATCATAGGTAACTCAACATTTCCTGAAGTAATCAACAATAAGGATTTCCATTGATATCTGCAACATCATGGAATTGAAGTATGTATTGAAGAGGAAAGTTCTGTAAATCACAATAGCAACCAGACGGTAGAAGTATAATGGTTGCACGAACTGAATGTTATAAACATCTGGCACCAATTAGCTCCAAAGTTATCAGGCACTAGGGAGGTCAGTATATGGAAGCAAACTATAGGATAGATATGAAAGAAAATTCCTAGCCGGTTGATTAATTGAGAGCAGTAATGCAGACATATATGTTTTCTTGAAGCAGATGATAAAATGTTTTTCGTAGCAAAGTGGCAGATTACTCACAAAGTCCACGGACCAGAAAGATAGTAGACCTAGTATGAGAAACAGGATTTGGAGTTGAGAAAGTTCTAATGCAGCTGATACAGAAAGCCCTCCAAGAACTGCTGCAATTTGGAGATTTCTCTCAATTGATCCTAGTGTCAGATCCAAGGGCGATAGGAAAGCAGAAGTATCAATCCCATTCAGTTTAAGCTCATCCAATGTATAAAGTCGTTGAGGTACCTATTACAGGTTTGGTTAAATAAGAGACCGTAAAATGAGATACCAAAAAATGAAAAAGGTAAATCATGTTCCTTCCCCTTCAATTATGTGGGAAAAGAAATATCACCACCTAGAACCATGTATGAAAATCTAATAGAGAAGCGGATGGACAAAAGGTTTCATTTGCTTCGATAGAAAATTAGTTACCTGAAAGGGAAAAGGTCAGATAGTTCTCTTTCTTGGAAAAAGAGTAATACTTTGCTTTGCACTTAGCTTGCAACAAATTTAGTTGGCTTCATTTATGCCTTGAACTGAATGGATGCAAGCAAGAAATACATTTATCTTATAGTTACATTCCATCACATTTTTCACACAGGTTCCCGCCAAAGTTTTTTTTTTTAAAAATAAATAAATCTTGAACATACTGGTCGAAGTGGTAGATAATGACGCATGCTGCTCATACCCACTGTCTATCACCTACGCCAGGAAGAATTGTCATGAAAATTGCACAAGTGCGAACCATAGCAAAATCAAGACAGTGATTCCTGTGGTTTAACAATCATTATTGTGTACTCAACTCAATAGCCAAGGCAAAGGTATCATGGGGGCCGTGTTCTGATCCAAACATCATATTTTAGCTCTAATAACTGATGGTTATGACTTCTGAAGATGGTTCCTGATACCGTTCGTAGTGAAGAAGTCAACTAATCACCAGAAACATGCTCAAAATTCACACATAACCGCAGGTTGATTGTTACTAATCGTACGAATTGGCACTTGAAAGCAAGAACGGAGAACCACGTCGTCAAGATCAAGAACGCAGGGCAGGTGGATGCATGCAGCACAAACCTGCCTGGCGGCGCCAAAGGCCCGGAGTCCGCCGTCACCCCCCTGCGAACCGCGCACAAGGGAGAGCGCGGCCTCGTCGTTCCCCTTGCTTAGCGCCTGGTCCACCTGCTCCAGCACCGCCCTCAGGCGCGCCGGAGACTGGGAAGCCGAAGTGTCTGTGGCGCGAGCAGGCGGCAACCGGAGCCTAACGGCGGCGGGCTGCAACTGGGTCAAGCCGAAGCAGCAACAAGGGGCTCCTCCCAGGTTCGAGCTCATTTTTTTATCCTTGGACTTCCATAGGCACAAGAGAGAACGAAGGCTCTGTAGCCAAACACACGACACGATGCCAGTACACAGGGACCAGTCCTTTGCGTCATCCTGCGTGTGTGGCCATGCTTTCTTGTGGCTGTGGACCTGTGGTTCGTCCCAAGCTTCCGCCCCGTTCCCCGCCGCCGCCACCACGCGAACAACGGAACATTAGAGTAAAATTTGGCAGCCGCATGTTCCTACCCCCTCGCCGAGCTCCTCTTGAGGATTCAAGGGGATTCATCGAGTGTGTCCAGCTCTGTTGCTGCTTCCAATCAGATCGGAAGGATGGAAGAAGGCAGTGGACCTCGCAGGAGCAGGTGCTGCAGCTGCGGCTCTAGCCTCCTCTATTTAATCGCCGGTAACAACTCATTCGTAATCCATCTCTCTTTGTTCCTGCAATGCCTCATTGCTGTCAATTTCCCCCAATGTGTGGATGATCCTGATTGTGGTTAGTGTAGACAATTTGTACATATACAAAATTAAACAAGCTGTAATGCCGGGCCTCTATGATTTCGTTTTTATGATAAATTGTTTAGGCTAAAATTTCAAGATAATATATGTTCCTCATTAATAACAAATATGATTACAAGAAAGAAAACTGTGGCATACCTAGAGTCTTTTATCAGCTGGACTGTTCCATGTGCAGAGAAATATTTGGATTGTGTCAGTATGCAATATTAGCGTTTACTTTCTGTATCTCAATCATTGAAATAGGACAATTCACCAAGATCCTTAAGAGCAAACTCTGTTCTCAAGTCTTTCAACAGTGCTACAATTGTATCTTGTGATGAGTCATCACAATAATATCATCAACATATACAATAATGAATATTGCAATCTCCCCTTTACTATAAAACTAAAAGAGAAGCATTTCCTTTTGAGGATTTAAACCTAAGCCTCTTTAATTTATTAGTTATCCTGGAGTACTAAGCCTTGGGAGCTTGTTTTGGACCATAGAGAGCACTGTCCAACTTATACACATAATTTGGTACTGTTCTGTCTTCATATCCTGTGTTGGTTGCCTCATATACATGTCCTCCTCTAGAATGCCGCGAAGAAACACATTCTGTACATCTAGCTGGTGCATATATATACCAATCCTCGGATACCAGAACAGACAATGTGAGCCTGATAGTAGTAGCTTTGACTACTAGACTGAAAGTATCCTCACAGCCCATATCATATTTGTCGGATATATAGGACCGGGATACCTCACTGCCTGTATTCTGGCCCACGCCTGCCCACTTGGCAGAAAACGACGAGAAATGAGGCCCACGTACGCCAGGTGAATCGGTAGACGTGAAGATCAAGTTATCACGTAGATAGTGGGCATCCCCGACGCGATAGGATCGAATTATTCTATTATACTTTCTATGTAACAAACTAGAAAACATATCTGTTCGCCGATCGGATCTACTGTAACCCTACCACAGGCTATATAAGGAGGGGTAGCCCCCCCGATTGGGATCACATTCTTTACATTCTAGCGCATAGCTATAATCAGCAACCCCTATAACCGAGCATACGAGTTTAGAGAGATCCACTTTGAACTGGACGTAAGGTACCACATACTTGAACTAGTATAATCCCTGTGTTTTGTGTGCTACCCATCTAATTCCCTGTATGGAATACGCTGATCGGTATTGCCAGAGTAAATACTTTCGACAATATATTTGTTAAAAAGCCTTTAGCAACCAAACGAGCTTTATATCTATCAAGGGTACTACCAACTTTCCTCTTAACCTTGTAAACCCATTTGTAATCAATAATCAATAAAAATAATAGGGAAATAGAGACCTTCCAAACTAAGTCTTGTGATAATATTGCTAGTTTATTCACAAAGGCTTTGCCATACTCCACATTTCAAAGATGTGTTGATAGAATTGGTACGAAAAGACTTAGATATGCAGGGATTAGGGGAAGTGTCTCTCTAAAACATATGCAAAACATCATATTGTGCCATTTTCTTTGTGTGAGTTTTTCCCTTTGGGGTTTCCTCATATAAAGTTTTTAATGAGACAATATCATTGCCATCTCATTTGTTTTTCCCATAGGCTTTTTATGTGATGATATTTGGGACATATTTGGTCATATTACCTATAACATTGTTAATTTAGACTAAGACTGAGTTATTCTCGAGGGTCTAAATGGTATGATGACAATTGATTATCATGATCTTTCTCCTTCATTTTTCTAATTGGGTTTTAAAGAGTTTTATCCTAACATATAAACACATTTCAGTTTTTCCCATAGGGTTTTCAAAGGAATAATGATTTGATGGAGATTCTAGAAGAGATAATTTATCAATGGGGAAGTTGAGAATATTCTTTATTACCAATTAGTGGCTACTCCTATCATTAACAAATCAGTCCACAACACATGTTCATACACTACTAGAAATATCCACTTCTATGACAAAAATGCTAATGACGAATTCGAAATCATCATAGAAGATCGTTTTTATGACGAATATTTCCATTTCGTCATAGATCAGTGGTGACGATCCTGCAACCCTTCCTTTCTATGACGAAATCAGGCATCATCACAGAAAACATTATAGAAGAGCACAGGGTTTCGTCATAGATCACTCGCGCGACTCATTTGTGATGATCTTGTTTAAACCTATGAAAAACAGGGCTTCGTCATTGAACTAATTACACATCTGTGACGGACAATATTTGATCTGTAACGAACGGCTTCGTCATAGATCTCCACACTGTACTTTCTCCATCCGACGTGTACCTATGAGATCTACAGTTACTCATCCATGACGCTTGCAATTCGTCATAAAAGTCTCCTCTCGATCCTTTCTCCATGCGACGTGTACCTGTGGGACCCTTCTCCATCCGACGTGTACCTATGGGACCTGCAGTTACTCATCCGTGACGCTTGCAATTCGTGCGATGTGTACCTGTGTGACGCTTCTCCATCCGACGTGTACCTATGGGACCTACAGTTACTCATCCGTGACACTTGCAATTTGTCATAGAAGTCTTCGCTTGGTCCTTTCTCCATCCGACGAGGACCTACGGGACCCTTCAGCATCCGACCTGTGGGACCCGATGGCTTACGTATCACATGTACCTGTGGAACCGTTCTCCATCGCCATCCAACCTGTGGGACCCGACGGACCTATGGGACTCGACGGTTTGCGTGTCACGTGTACCTTTGGGACCATCTGACCTTTGGAACTCGACGACCAGTGGGACCTTTCTCCATCTCCATCCGACCTGTGGGACCCGACGGCTTGCGTGTCACTTGTTGCCGCTGGGGTTTAATAAATTCAAACTAAAAAAAACATGAGACCAAGAAGTCGAACCTGGGACCCAATTTAAGGAATAGACCGTCTTCACCATTGCGCTAGACGCCTGGTTGTGTTGACACGTCTTTGGAATCCTAATAGTAGTATATGTTCTCTGTGTGGATAGGTTGACTTATATATTTGATGTATATCCCCTGCAAGTGGAAACAAATCTGTGCCCGTTGGACTTGCGGCAGCGACGACGGCAATGGAGGATCCCCAGTGTGCTGTGGTGGCTCAGGCGTCCTTTTGGAGGCTATGCAGTGGGTCTTCTCGGTGGAGCGTGGCGGCATTGGCGTCCGTGTCCGTCGTGTGTCGTGACAGAGGCAACAAATCCGATTCGCAGGTCTCCTTTCTCATCTTTTCCTGCCTTCACTGTTTTGGTCCTTGCTTGAACATGAGGTATACAAGAAATATTGTAGCGTTGCAGATCTGGTTAGGCCAATGCTGATGAAAAGAACTAGGAGGTAGCACTGTTTTTCTGTTGGTGTCTTGGTTTTCTGCATATGTTCAGTGTTCTTACTGTAAATACGCCTGTGTGCAACTAGGCCTGTTAATTGTCAAGTGCAGGCCCTTTGCTTCTGCCTTAAACTATTTTTTCTGTCCAATGCTTGCTTGATTCTATATTTCTGTTTTGTATGCTCTAGTGCCACCGGTGAGTCCTTATGGTATTTTGAACTTGTAACATATCTAAGGCCACATTTATGTGCCAATGGTGTCTACATGGCTGTTGGATGTATTAGGACGCAGCTCATATGTTTGCTTTTTGTGTCTTCTCCTTGTTGACAACCAAGTTATCCATTTGATTCCAAACAAGAGGAAGGCATCGAAAGCAGATCAATGTTTTGTGTCCATCATTCACATCACTAAGGCCAATAATGTGTAAGCTGCATATGTTGCTACTGATGCCAATGATGATCACTACCACTGTTCACTGACATTCTACTTGTGAAAACTGAGGAAGCTCAATTAACTGCTAAAATTGTAATGGTTACAACTCGATTAACTGCTACTCTAGTTTGAGTTATATATATATCTATGTGGTGCTACTCTAAATTTACATGAGGTTGTACCATGAAAATTGTTAATAGTTGTACTTTGATATGAGTTGTGGACTTCATTGATGGATCTTTGTTGGATTATTTTCCTCTTCGGTGATCTCATTACTGAGGAAGCTCTCATCATACTGCACACTTACGAAATGGAGGAGGCTCCCAACAAGAGGAACGCACTGGTCAGCTTCATGGAGGATCTCATTTTCGAGATCCTCCATCGCCTCCCCACTCGCTCCTTGTTCTGCTGCAAATGTGTATGTCGCTCCTAGAAAGACCTCATCTCAGACCCCAATAACCATAAGAAGCTGTCCTAGACTGTGGTCGGCTTCTTCTACGACAGCGAGAACGGCAATCGAAACTTCACCAGCGTCGTCCGTGGTGTACGCCCCCGCTTCTTGGAATTCTTGCTCCTCAACATTGACAATGTAGCTCTCTCAAATTGCTGCAATGACCTCATCCTAGCTAGTGCCTTGGGGCTAATGGATACCGCTATGTTGTCTGCAATCCAATGATCCAGAAGTTTAAAATTCTGCCGCCTAGCACCCATGATGTTGGCCATGCTGTTGGTGAGACTCGCTTGGCGTTCGATCAGACAGCCTTCTTGCACTTTC